GGGGGGGGGGGGGGGGGGGGGGGTTGTCCATTAAGCCTGCACCATGGGCATAGTTTGAGGGACAGGCGGGCCTGTCCTCTCTTCCAGAGCGGAAAATAGTATCATCTGGCTCCCCAAAAATTCTGGATGGTGGAAAAAAAACCTTTGTCAAGATTAAGATTTTCTCGCAGTGGTCCACAAGAGGATGCCATAATAGGATGCTATCCATTCCCAACCAAAGAAAGTAGACATTTTTAAAGAACCAGTCGTTAAGATGCAGGTATAGTTTTTTTTTTTTTTTTTTTTTTTTTTTTTAACCTGTAGGTATACAGTGCATCCACTTCCCTTTGTCAAATCGTTGTCGGTGATGAAGCAGTGATCAACTTTGACTCCGCACTGGCAAGGCAAAGACGTCAAGAATGAGACGAAAAGAAATATTAGAAGTCCTCGAAGAGCTTCAAGTCGGACTCACCGACAGAGGGCGCTGATCGCCAATCTGCCTCGGGGTACTCGTCGAAGTTTCGCGTGTCACCATCGTAGCCCACTTGTGGTATGATCGGTGGCTAGAAACACACAATACAGTTCAGTTAGTGGCTGCAGGTAAAAGTACTTTGTCAGGAGCACCCTTAGGTACACACAGATTATTGATACAGCAAGTAAGACGGTGAATGTATCAAATTAAATACTATACATACATAACGTCGCTCCTACAACGCACTCTGGCGTTCTGCGACACCCAAACGCCGCACATATGCCTATCCTCCCAGAGGTTATCGGGCAACTGACATCGCAACATCTCTTCGTTAACGCCCTACCGCCAACCCTTTATTAAACATACCTAATGCGATTCTAAATCCTTTTTCTGAATTTTTTTTATATTCCTCATTCTACCTATACTTTCAGGCAATAGTAATCCACTTCAATTATGAGATTAGCTGCGTTGGAACAGGGCCGGATTTAGGGGGTAGCCACATGGGCCGCGGCCCATGGCGGCAAATTTTGCAATTTTTTCAAATGTAGGTATAAAAAAATCGGATAAAAATTAAGTAAATAAATAAATAAAGAAAAAAAAAAAACTTCAAACGAAAAAAGGCAACAAAATCTCTTAGGGTCGTTTGTAAGAGCTCTTGTCAACCCCTGGTCACCAAACCTGTGGTCAGACTCTGACCATCAGTCAATCTTCTAATCAACCTAACCACTGGTTTGCGAGAAAGAACAAAGGCTGGCCGGGACTTGACCTGAAGAAAACAGGGAGTCATACACACCCATACCTCTGGTAAGCACCTGACTTATTTCCTGAGAGTGTAGTAATTTCTAGTTTTGTCGTCTTTCGGTGATACAATGAGATAGCACCTTTAATTATTATATAGTCGAGTTTTAAGAGAAACCAAACACTCAATATTTGACGTGGAGCGGCGCGGCGCAGAAAGCAATGATGACAAAGACTTGAGATAAAAAGGAGAAGCCCTCGGCACGACGGTTGGCATGTAACACATGTTAGCGCCTACAAGACTGCGTGAATACTTTACGCATTGCGTCAAACATAGGGCGGTCAGCAACGGTCGGCGTGAAACGTATGACGCCTACAAGACTGTAAGAATACTTCACGTCTTGGCTTGGTAGACAACTGGGATAAGAGTAAGGGCAGTTTTTGACATTTCAAGGAAAACGTGTTTACGTTTCAATATTTCATGAAGCCTTGTAGCAGAAAGAAAGTTCATATCCACTTTTTTAATGCTTAAGGTGATTTGACGGACTCCAATTTTTGTGTCAGGGAGACGTGCGATATATCGCTCGTTGCTCTGATACAAAAAATGGCGTCCGTCGAATTACCTTAAAACTGAATTTCAATAGTAAATTTATCACAGAATATATTTTTTTAAGACTCGTTTCAATTGAAATCATTAATATTTCAATCCTTTTAAAAACCACCCTTATCTCACTTGTTTTCCTTAAACCCCTCAATCATGTTGTCTTCCAAGTTTCTGTTAGAAAAAGTCACTGCAAAATCTGAAAAAATTGCGCGCATTTTGTTTGTTTTGAAACCATTTTGAAACTTACCTTCAATCTTCTACAATAGACATCGTGCCAGTCCACCCCTTTAAACCACCGGTGCCTCTTAATATCTTCAGCTCCATTCTAGAACAAAATTTCGTCATCGTAACAAAATCGAGAGAAAAATTAATCGAGTTTATTACAGGGCATTAAAGACAAGGACTAACATCTTGGGAACTGTCGTTTTCGTTAGAGGTGACAAAGGGACGAAAACATCGAGAAATTGGACAGGACATTAAGTTCGAAGGAGTTCCTAGGCTCAAATATCTGGGCAATATGTTCTGGCCCTGGTGAAAATTGGTAGTAGAATGTGTGTTCCAAAATACTATAGACCTAAAGCCGGCTGTAAGATTTCCAATAGCTTCTGTAGCCGGCTGTACAATTTCTTATAGCCTTTTATAGCCGATGGCGATTAAGCAACAGCCAGACGATAAAGTTTATGCTAAACGTTACTAAATACGGATACTAGGACTTAGTTAGTTTTTGGACTACCGCTCCCTTTTTGTGCCGTAGTATCTTGATTAATTTTGCGGGGAAAGCTCCGTACTTTTGACGGATGCCTGCCATTCTTAATTTGGAGCGCCTTCAATTTCTTATGATACTGTGTAATACCTCTGGTGTGAAATAGTTGCTTCAGACGCCGTGGCGGGCAGAGAGCACGAAACGCGCATTGGCGCCTACAAACCTAACAGGGATACTTCACGCATTGCGCAATGCGTGAAGTATCCCTGTTAGGTTTGTAGGCACCAGTGGGTCGCCGCTCCGCTTTGTGTTAGGCTCTAATATTTAATCTCGCGGAGTCAGCGTTTTTCAACTCATGATTTTGAAGTGTTTGCACACTCTGTATGGATTATTCTCATTTTAATTGATGAAAAAAAAGTATGTTTTAAAGGAAAATATAATGCGTGTTTTGTAAATATGAAGGTAGTTCCGTATCAAACTTAGTGATTTCCAAAGCCCACGAATCTCTACACAATTTTTTATAGCCTTTTACAGCCAATGGCGATAAAGTGTAAAGCCCGGCGATAGGAACTATAGCCCGACTGTATACTTTTTTATAGCTTCGTATAGCTCGGCTATATGATTTGCTCCGCTTTTTACAGCCAGCTATATGATTTTCAATAGCCTTCTTTAGTCGGCTATAAGAACTCCTATGGTATTTTGAAACGCAGTTCCTATCGCCAATTTTTACCAGGGGGATAATGAAGACAAATATAATTACTGCAATCAAATCGAGAGAATAATATCTCATTGGATTATTAGAAATCCTAATTAAGTACCAATTTCCGGACGAAAATTCTCGTTGAGTCCTTTTTGAAACGGCATTTCTGTTGATTCAAAGAGACGTTCTGTCACTTTAAAATATTTCCCGTTGACTGCACCAGATGCTCTGCCGGGAATTATGAACTGCAAAATATTTCTCAATGTAAGGTCAGGATAAGAACTGGCAATGAAGCTGACACCACAAGTCTCGGGCTGATTAAAAGCAAGCTTTTATTATGAAGAACTAAGGTACCTGCACCGAACCGAAGATTATGCTCCTTTGCCACAGATCATCCAAAATTGACGAAACACTCCTATCTATTTGCTACGTTTCAGTCATGGTGGAAAGTTTGAAAGAAAATGCCGATTTTGCAAAATCCAACTCTCATTTGTCCAATGAGAGTCGAAAATAAAACTGAGAAAGGAGAAGAAAAATAAGAAAAGAAAAAGCCGAAGATGAAGAGACGAGGGTGGGGGAAAGAAAAGCGAATGAAGCAGAAGATCAAAAGAGGAAGAAGAAGAACAAAAGAGAAAGAGGAATAGGTACTGGAAGCTCACTGAATTAATAGCTATTCAACGGACCGGAAAAGGTTACTTTTACGCCATATCAGTTCGCCTTCATTTTATAGTGTAGGCAACTTAAGTTCCCACGTGATCGAATAGTGGTATCATTGACCGTGTAACATTAATACGGTCACATCACTCCCATCGGGTGACTTAGTCGTGGACTCGATCATTTTTGTTCAAATTGCGTAATCTTATAAAAATGCTTTAATGGTATGCTTTTACGTCGCTTGAGGATTGTTCCGAATATGGTTTACCATAAACGGCCAGTAACGTAACTGCTCTCATCACGCCGTTTTCTATTGTACTGATTTTCTTGATTCCAGTCCGAGAAGAAAATAAATGAGATAGGCGAAGAAGAAGAAGAAGAAGAAGAAGAAGAAGAAGAAGAAAAGAGGAAAACGGAGAATTGGTGGTGATGATAAACTTTGCTTGTAAACTTGGGGTGCCTACAACTGAAAACGTGGAAAGGAAAAGATGAAAATCCTCGATATCAAGATCTTACCTTCATGTTTCCAAGGCGTTTGGTTCGGTCCTGAACTAGAAGTTTCTTAATAATATCTTTGGCCACAGGGTCCAGGTGTCTGGGCCATTCGATTTTACCCTCGAGAATTTTTTTGTAAATTCCGAAAGGGTTGTCATCGAAAAAAGGAGGATAACCGGCCAGCATTTCGTAGATGAGCACACCTGGAATAGAGGAGTAAATTCAACTTTTACTTTACGTTTAGTACTACTTAGTTACTTTTTAAAGTTCTAGACGTGATTTTGGGTGTGATAGAAATGTTTTCATATCCAACTTCTGAATTAAGTTCGGATCGAACTTTGATGAATATTTTTGCTTAATTTGCAAAATTAAGCTTTGAGTGTGATTATCATTAATTTCTCAGCCGACTATACGTGTTCCTCTGGGTCGGGTTTGTTTACATTGGTCCAACTTTGGAGCTCCATGATAGCCTAAAACTGATGAACCAATCAGAGAGCGGCACAGAGATGGCAATACTCTCCCAAATACAGGTACTCTAGGTATAACCAAACACTAATCAGTCAACGATGGGGTAGTCAACAGGTAATAAAGAGATAGATCAGTATTGCTGGCATGTAATTATTGCCTAGGGAAATGTTGAGTTTCCGAGGATAAAATTTTCCAGTTTAGGAAACTTTCGTGGAGAATGATGAAAAGAAAAGTAAGTGGAAACTCGGAGTAATCACGTAAAAAGAAATCCGGCGAGCAACATGTTCGGATGGTATCGAATTTCTCCCCTGCGCCTCCTGAGATCAAATATGTCACTTATAACACGCCTTAAACAAACGGGCTTGACATCCGCTGGGTGCCTCTTATCCAGACCGGCCAAAAATAGAGTAGACGCTAAGACAGAAAGCGACTAACGTTGCTCGGGCCGCTAAAGTTGCCTTCATTTCGTTTTTATTTCAGAAAAATGTTATCAAATTTTTATCTATTCGCGACCGTCCACTGGAAAAGGGCCCTGCGGGCTGATTGTTAAAATTGATAGACAAAGCAATAGACATAGGGGGTATGAAGCGATCCTATTGGTTGAAATGGATGGCTCCTATAGACTAAAGGAGAAAATGTTGAACTAACTACATTGGAAAAAAACACATTGGATCTAGAGTCCAAACTCTAAACATCGACAAGAAAAAATACTCTTGATTCAATCAGATTTAAGCTTAAATCAAGAACCAAGCCTCTTGATTTGAGCGGATTTCCTTTTGATTTAAGCTTAAATCTGATTGAATCATGAGTCCTTTTTCTTGTCAATGTTTTCAAGAGTCTGGACTCTAGATCCAATGTTTTTTTCCCATTAATTGTATAGGGTCTCTCTTGGGTTGCCGTTAGTTAGTCTATTTCCTACCTCCTTTGTCCATTGCAACCACCCACCTCCACCAATAGGATTCCTCCATATCTCTTTTATCCTTTTTGTCTATAGTTTTGTCTATCAATTTCAATAATCAGCCTGCAGGTGTGACCAAAATACTGGTATCAGATACGTTATCGTGTGTGTACCATATTTGAGGGGCTTAAATGGCAAGTGGGGTAAATGCAAATTTTGAAAAAATTGAGATATCAATGATTTCAACTAAACTGGTCCTACACAATTGTCTGTGATCAATTCTTTTCTAAAATCCAATTTTCAAGGACCAAAAAGTAAGTTTGAACTTTCTTTCCGCTGTGTTTAATAAGTTTCAATGCTTTTCCGGGCTCATCTCAATGTATAGTTACGCCCTTATGTCAGCCAAGCGACGATTTGGAGCATCCACACACCCCACACTCTCGCTTGCTGTGGTTTTGAAATTATGGGTCCTTGAGTAATACCTATTATATATGGTATTAATTTAATATCCCGAAAAAAGGACACTTTATCGGTTATTTAATATCCAATTTAATACGTATTAGAATTGGTGTACTTTTTACACACACAGAGGCAAAGTTTTCTGTAAAGCGATTGCAATTGAGTGGCACTGGGAAATCTGATCATGAGGTCTCCACGGAAGTCCTTTTTTCACTTTTTTCGGTACCGATTGGTCATATTATTACAGCCAGTGAACGATCAATATACTGACAGGGGTGCATTTAACAAAATGCGCAATGATTGAATGTCCGAGTTGAAAATGGCGCCCTATTTGTCCACGAGCTACTGCTCGTTTTGCGCGTGGCTTTGTGAACACAAATAGTCGGCGCGAATTGGCCCTTGAACAGGTGTTTGGCGCGTGATTTTGCAGTGAATGTGGCATCGCGCTCACATAATTTATTACCCTGGGAGCTTGAAAAATGATCCCCAGGATGAGACTAGGCCGAACGCCAGAAACTGGATACACTTCCATCGAAATAATTATTGACACGTGTGATCTTCGTCAGGTGTACTGGCGTGTAACAATCATCATAATAACTACAAAGATCAGCGAGAATTTCCCGGAAAAGTTCTTCATGTCGCAAGGAAATGTGTGATTTTCCACACGGGAAGAAATGTTAGGATTCTTGAGAGGCGATTAGGTGTAAATTATTGACGTTCAGTTTTAACATCCGATACTTTGAATATCATTTGCGAATAAAAATAATCACACGGAGAGAGAAGAATTTGTTGAAAAAATTAATTTAAGAAGGTGAAAAACGGCTAGGACGGTGTCTAGCAGAGTCCTGGATTTTTGTTCTCTTATTGTGGGGGGGGGTGGAGGGGGAGCAAGGACCCATTTCTCATTCTTGGGAGTCTACTGGTCGTGAATGGCTATATACAATCACAACTTTTCTAGAGGAGTCTACCAGCCATTTGGGGTAACTCATCCGTCTAACCACGCCTATTAGCAGAACCTTATCCCACCTTCTCCCACCTTACCCTCCCTTATCCCACCTTATACCACCTTAACCATCAGCACCGGTTTTTGAGGATGGTTCTGCTTACGTTTGCGGTTTAGTTTTAACTATATGAACTTGGAAATCAAAAATGAAATAATCACAACTGAAACCAAAAATGACTAATATAAAGGTTTGGTTTGGATGTTGTTAAGTTTCTTATTCAGTTGCTTGGAGCGATTTCTCATATTTCTTGCGATTCTCGTGGGTCGTTTCACATACGCTGCTAAAATCTATGTAAAATTTAGAGTGTATTTTGACTTCGATTTCATCCAAACATATGAGACATACCTGTACTATGGCCCGGGTAAAATCATTGAAAACGAATTCAAAACGCGTTAGAAATGAGACATGAAAATATCAAGTTTGGGGTTTTCTGAAGAAATCTGAGCTTACCTAAAGCCCACCAGTCAACAGCCTTGTTGTGACCCTTGGATTGAATTATCTCTGGTGCCAGGTATTCCGGTGTCCCACACAGTGTCCAAGTTCTGTAAAAACAAATACAGGTCAAATTATATAATTTCAAGTTAGATAAAGGTGATCGAATTGCGACTCGCAAGATGTGGACCGCTCACCTTCTTCTTCGTTTGAAAATAATTTGGATAAATAGACTACAAATGTACAATATCTAAATTTTGAATTATTATGCTAATTTTGAATTGCCTGAAAATCCCTTTTTCTTTTGAGGCCGCGCATCAATTCAGTCACCGTTTAATTTCAATGGACTTCATTACCATGATTTTTGCCACGAATTTTGAAAGAAATTCGGTACAAATACACAGCTACGTATGTCCGCTAGAAATTCAAAATTCTTCCATTACTAGGGGTCCATGCTCCCTGGTCGCTACGTCTCTGAGGACGCTTTGCGCCATTTGTCTAAAACAACGTCTAAAACAACGTGGTGCATGAACTGACATGGCATGAACATGAAACTGGTAATGGTCGGCAAAAAGCGAAAAAACCAGGAAGAGAAATTGAGGGTGGAGAAATAACTAACGGATTAAATAAGTTTAACGGATTGAGAAGGCGTAGAATGAGCGGGGAAGGGAGGGGTAGTGTTATGGGAGGAGTAGCGGACACCCCTAGCGTTAGATTCCGTTATGCGAAATTCTTATAATTTTATATAGAGAAGATTTGCTCTAGCATTCATCCTACGATTTTCGTCGTGAACGTAGACCACGATTTACATGACGAAAATGATTGAAAGTAACTACTAACGAAGATACTACGTTTTTCGATGCAATTCAAAATCCCTGCTCATAAGAAAAACTTGAGTCAAACGCATACCTAACGTTATGCAAACGGTATGTTGCACGTTTGTTTACACTTTGGAATTTTGAACTGCATAAAATGGGAAACGGAGAAACACGACGATTGAGGATCCACGGTGGCTTACGCGCAATGCGTGAAGTATCCATGCAGTCTTGCAGGCACTAACAGCGTCGGCCGTGCGCACCGTGGGTTACGCTCAATGCGTGAAGTATTCATGCAGTCTTGCAGGCGCTGACATGTTTTTCTGGCCGACGTGCGGTGTTTAGCGCGATCACTCACACTTGCGCATCGTTTTTCAACTTGTAATTTTCAATTTTTTTGCACAGATACAATCTGAAATACTCTGAATGGACTATTTGTCATTTACTCTGATAAAAAATTAAAGAACTCCTCAAAATACTTCTAATTCTCTCCTCTTTATTTGCAACTGGTAGTGATCGGCAAAAAGCGAAAAAATCAGGAGGGGGAATTGGGGGTGGAGAAATACCTCAGCAAGAGAAAGGGTAATAACGGATTAAGTAGGCGCAGAATAAGCACTAAAAATAGTGGAAAATTGTATCAAGAGTTTTATAATATTATGTGCTGAACGCATTACCTGTCGTTTAACTTTTTAGCGAACCCAAAATCCGTAATTTTCAAGTGTCCGTCTTTGTCGATGAGCAAATTTTCAGGCTTCAAATCTCGATAGACTATTGACTGAGAATGTAAATACTCTAGGGCTATCACAATTTCTGTCGTATAAAAATTACCTGTGAACATAAAAGTTAACAACAATTTAGATGCCGGTAAAAATTGTATGGACAGTGGGGCTCACCTAGAAGTTTTGTTACCAGAGGAACGACGCGATATGACGTCATGTGATTATTTCAGATTCCCAGTAAGTTAAAAAAAAGAGACAGCAAACCGGGCTTTGAATTAATGACGTTCAGTTCTCAACGTCAAAATCAGTTTTCAACAAATGTTTCAACAGTTGCCCGCAGTAAAAAAAAAAAAAAAAAAAAAAAAAAAAAAAAAAAAAAAAAAAAAAAAAAAACACTAAACAATTAAATAGCAGTAAAGCTGAAAAAAATTCATAAGACGAGTTTCCTTATTTTGTAATTTGTTAGGTTTCATGACAATTTTCCAAGCTAACCACCAATATTGAAGAGATAAATGCCATTAACTTTATGCATAAATGATCAAAGTAAATGACATACGCAGGATCTGAAAAGCTGTATTGTTGAAATAAGAGAATAATTCGGTAAAAAGCACTGCAACAAAGATTTCTTACTTGCACTAGTTGAGAATCTACCGGCATTCCTAAGGTAAGAAAATAGTTCGCCACCACATACGTATTCAAATAGCATAAATAGGTGGCATGAATCGTGATAGTACCATTTTCTGTGAAAACAAAACAAAAGAGAAAAGACATATCAGGTTATTAAGTTACGCTGTTCTTGATCTTAAAGAAAAAAAGAAAATAGCACTGTAACAGATCTCCTCGAAATTATACTTATCATTTAGGTGTTCACAATATAAGACATGCATTGTTCAAAAAATTCAACTCGAATTCAACAGGATTTTTTAGTTTATCCAAGTATTTTTAGAGGATTGCTGTTTTTCACGAGTTTAAATGGTGAGCATTATGTGTGAAATAAGTAGTTTATATTGTATTCAGAAGGTGCATTGAGACTCAAATTTTTATTACCAATGAACTCTGGTAGGAACTTAAACTCTCATAAACTTTGGTTCCTGCCGTGCATCAGAATTCACGGTTGGATAGTAATTAAATTTATGAAAAAAAGGCGAGGGAGTACATAAAATGGTCTACTTACAAATTGACTATAAAAGGGTGTCTTATTTCGGCTAAGATATTTTTTTCGTTTTTTACATGGTCTACTTGTTTCAGTCGAATCACATCGGCTATTGCTAATATTTTCATAGCAGCGAACTTATCCGTTGCCTTCTCCCGACAGAGACAAACCCTTCCAAATGTGCCGGTGCCTGCAACAGAGAAAATTTGAAAAATGTGTCATGAAAAGACAATGCACGAATTTTCATCTTTTAAATGCGACACATTCCTTACGAATCTTTGTTCATAAATATTTTGCACGTATATCATCCTTTAAAAAAGGTTTTAATATCGTTAGGTTGACTTGTCAACTTCAAGAACAATCAATATGAATTGTGCAAAGTCATACGTGAATTCAAATTGATAATCAGTGTCGAATTCATAATTTATACCCCCCCCCTCCCTGAATGAAGCGCATTTGCAATGAGATGTGTATCATTTTTGAAAGGAAACTTGGCAATATACCAATGTTTTTGTTCAAACAGAGCATTTTTCCTTAGCACGGCAAAACTGCACCTACCCTCCAATGGATTGTCATTTAGCACAAAAATCAACATATTCTCCGTCTCAGACCCATTGAAAATATACGACATTATCCCTAAAATTTGACAAATTTGTCGCTGTTTGCATGCGTTCATGTTTAGCCATTCAATTAGAGTCAAACCGCGCGCTCTTCCGCAGCGTCTTGACAAAGCTTCGATTAATGATGTTTGCCTCTTCAATATTGCCCAATTTTCGTTCGTCTCTACTGTTGCACAGGAAATATTTCATTGAAATTTAGGGGGCGAAATTTTGCAATTTAGCCTGTCCTTACTTAGAATAGAATGCGGTAGTAAGGTTTGCTAAAAATGAACTCGTGTAAATTCGAAAAACTATTTCTTTTCGCGCGTCAAAATATAGCAAGTCTAGGTCATCACGCTTTAATTGGGTTTGTTATGGTATTTTCGAGGAGATGAGGTCAAAAAATTGATTAATGTCTTGTCAAATATTTTGCCCTTGAAAACCTGCACAAGAAAACTTACTCATATGCGGTCTCTCGAATTATCAAGAAGAATAATGCAAGATGCATATAGACGTGCAAATTTATTGCAAAACTAGGGGACTATACGACCCACCCTCTGACCACTTCGCGGCCCCCCCCCCTCGCCCTCCAAAGGCGCCGCGCCTCTGGTATTATTCTTCTGATGTTCCTTTTTGGAGTACGATGCAGAACTTGTTGCTCGGTTGAAAGCTTTGTTTTATCCAGACTTATGGGCGGTGATAGCTTTGAAGAACAGCTGATCATCAACATTTATTCGGCAGCCTCACTCGAACGTGATTGAGGCGGATTTTATTTAGAGGTTTGGCACTACTTTTGTGCCCGAACCTCCAAGCTGCCATTCTATTTGAGTTCGGGACTTCCAATTCGGTGACTAACGAATCGCAAAGTTGGTGCGTGATTGTGGTACCACCTAGCGAGGTGGTTCTAAAAAAGGTTCGACCTATCGAAAAACAACGGATCTGATTGGTAGAATCTGGTATAACGACTTTGGCCGCTGGTGTTGGTGATTGATGAGACAAACCGGGACAGAACTTCCCAAAGAGGCTTGGAATTTTAAATAAAATTCGCTTTTGGGCGCACCGAAACGATGGCGGATTTGCGCGGGCAGCGCGGAAGTAAGTAGCGGCATGCGTTGGTTGTTGTCGCGTTCGTCAGGCTCAAGGCTCGCATTCAGTGCGCCTCTCGGGACCGGAAGATCCAGGTCTGTTGCACTCCCCCCGGTCGTTTCCTCTGCTGCCATCTCTCCCCCACCTTCAAACGTAAACAACACCAATAATCGACGAGGTAGTTGGTGCCTAAAAAACCCAAACGAGAAACGCCACAGTTACAAAACGGACGGCGCAGAGATACATCTATTCATACTCGATGGATGTCCGTGTTGCATCTGCAGAATTGAAGGCGCGATGAGGTGACGCGCGCATGTGCTCGCAATGTCTCGCTCTATGATGCCAATGAATTGTCGCTTATTTGGCAGAAAAGGTTTAAAAAAGGCCCTATTACGTCTCTTCTATATTTGGATTGCATCTTGCGAAAAGGAACCACGAGCATCACAATGTTGCTAAGATTGTGCAACTTCTTTTTTCTTGGAAGGACAACCTGATTATCCATTAACAGTTTCTACTTTACTCGCTAAAAACTGTAAATTTAAGACAAAAATTACCAAGTCAATTTCAGATTATTTCATGTTTTCAGTAATTTTATTGCAAAGGATGAAGTTGCACAATCTTAGCATCATTGCAATACTTCTGGTTCCTTTTTGCAAAATGCAATCCGTTTGGCTGTGTTCCTCACGTAGCCTGTTAAAAAGCAATACCAATAAGACAGACGGAGCTGCGACGCAACATGAAAATACAGCAAGGGATAGAACGCTCGTTGATGTCGGCGCAGAGATACAACTATTCGTGCTTGATGGATATCCGTGTTGCACCTACAAAATTGAAGGCTACACTCTTATGCTGCCGATAAGGTGTAGCTTAGATTCGGGAGAAAAGTGAAAAAAACGAGGCCCGATTACGTTCCTCTATCTTTGGAAGTGTTGCTCACGTAGCCTGTGAAACACCAATTCAAATAAGGCAATCGGAGCCAACGCAATATAAAAAAAGATCGAGGGAAAGGACGTGCGTTGATGTCGGCGCAGAGATACAACTATTCGTGCTTGATGGATGTCCGTGTTGCATCTGCAAAATTGAAGGCGCGATGACGTGAGGCGCGCGTAAATTTGCAACGTTCTGCTCTATGCTGCATATGAGGTGTCGTTTATTTGGCATAAAAGTTTTAAAAAAGGTCCAATTGCGTCTCTCGTATCTACCGCTGTGTCTCTCACGCAGTCTTTAGTATCACAGTGAGAATAGTTTTCACGAATTTCGAGTAAAATTCTGTAGTTTAATTTCGGAAATAGATCCGTGCAAGAGATTATAATTACTTGCGACCGCAAGAAATACAAATTGAAAATAAGAAATGATGATTTTGATGGACTTTACGGCAGGTAAATCCCTATTCTACAAATTACGAAATCAGCTTTATTTCCCCTTTGGCTCAGTGCCTTTTTTACGGTGGCAAATCATTGTAACTCGTTTCAGATATCTACTCTGAATTTTACTAGAAATTCGTACGTAAGGTCTCCCTAAATCTCTCTTAATCGCACCGTGAACAATACGGAACTCCTCTAAGGGAGAGAACTATTTAAGGAAGCTACTAGGAATACAACCCTCAAAACTGGCAACTACGCATCTCAGAGCAGTCTCTCTTAAGCTACGTTCTCAAAGGCAGTGCTGAACGAAGTTTGCTGTGTGAAATGGTGCTTGTGCGGTTTAACATGCCTACGGGCTGATTTTTGAAATTTACAGACAGAGCTATAGACAAAGAAGACATGATGAGTATGTAGCTATCCTGTTGGTTGAAATAGTTGGTTTCTATAGACTAAGGGATAAAATGATGGACTACCCACAAGGTCTCTCATGGGTTGCCGTCAGTTGGTCTGTCACCTACCTCTTTTGTCCCCTGCAACCGCCTGCTTCTACCAATAGGATTCCTCCATATCCCTTTCGGTCTCCTTTGTCTATAGCTTTGTTTATCAATTTTAACGACCAGCCATCAACCCGCGCGCAGGTGACTTGGCGTCGAGCGCTGCCTGTGGGACCGTCGCTCAACCATGAAACTTGGGACGAATCAACGCTAGAGTATAAGCGAGCGCGTGAGGGAAAACTATAAATAAAATCTCCAAGTTCTTCTTGAAGTTTGGTTTTGGTTCCAATTTCCGAGCGCGTACCTAATTTATTTTATGCAGCGGCGTGTCGGATAAAGAAACCGTTGAGCGCCCCTTGACTCACCCAACACATGCAAAAGAAATCTACCCCCTACCCCTCCTGTAAGTACTCGAAAGACAGTAGTGATTTTTAAAAGTTGGTAAAACTGTATTTCGTCCATTTGAATGTATATAAAACAATCAATTCTTGGCGAGGCAGCTTTTTTAAATTTGTATGCATCAAAAAGTCAATTCGAACTTTCTTTCCGCCACACGGATCCACGTAATTTCGCAACCTTAAACACTTGTTCCTCGAAATGGCAAAAACTGCACTTATGCGCTTCATTCTTCAAGCCCCTCAATTGCGGTCTTTCTGTCATTCTTTTAATGGGGAACGAATCAAAATCAGTCCTTGGAGTATTCTTCCAATAACACTTGATTCATTAAATTATTCTTTGGCCATGAACTATTCAAATATATTTATGTTTAAAATTAAAAATTCCTCATACAGATACAAAAAATCACGGAGGTTTTCGAGGGACGACGTTGGTGAATAATAGTTTGCCACTGTACCTAAAAAGCACTGATACGATGTTCGGAAATCGCAGTTTGGGTAAATCAACTTTAGTTTGACAGAGGAGAACCAATTTATGTGAATTTTAAAGCGAGAGGAGAGATTGTAAGTTACCTCTCCAGAGTAAGTAAGGACTGAAGAGAGAAAGTCTCAATTCAAGGGTAGAAATCGTTCAGACACCAATACCAATAGGTCGATTTTTGAAACGTATAGACAAAGCTATAGACAAAGAAGACAAAAGGTGTATGGAGGGATCCTGTTGGTGGAAGTGGGTGGTTGCAATAGACTAATGCGGTAGGTAGTAGACTAACTAACGGCAACCGACGAGAGGCCCCATAGTTAGTCCATCATTTTCTCCCTTAGTCTATAGAAACCACCCGTTTCAAGCACTGAGATCGCCCCAAATCCCCTACGTCTTCTTTGTCTATCGCTTTGTCTATCAATTTTAGGCTTGCTGGCAAAGTGCAGATCACGTGAGAGTAATGCAAGTTGCGGATTGGACTCAAGACAGGTGTTCGTTCGTGCTGCCGTGCGCTTGCCGTAGTCTACCTATGTCACTCAACGCCGGCCGGTCGTCGCGCCGGGCGTCGCATAGTAGAACGAGCCGATGGTAGTTCAATCTCACGTGGAAATTTTGAAATTCGTAAGTAACCTAAAAGTTTAAAAATGGCTCCATTGACTTCGCTGTCAAATTTCCTTCAAGAGGCACTCCATGAAATTTAAAATGTAACGTGGAACACATTAAAATTCGCGATTTAAGTAAAATATTTAATGTCCGCTCTCCTCGAAAGGC